GTCACACCGAGGCCAGCCTGCATCTCCGGGGGGCCACTGGCCCCAAGTCTGTCCGCTAAAGCACCCAGGACGAGAGTCCAGGGGAACGTGGCCCCTGGGCCCACCATGCGCTCAGCCTCCGCGGGGCCCAGAGTGGAGTTTCCGACCGCCAGCTCCCGCTCTTCGGTGGCGGCCATCCTCTGTGCTCCCCGCAGGGGGGGTTCCGCTGCAGGAAGGTCCCTGATGATGTTGCTCCAGGAAAAGTGGGTTTTGAAGAAGCTGAGGGTGTTGCCCAGGTCCCACACGGGCGTCCCCCGGAGTTCATTGTGGCAAGGAGAACAGAGCTCACGGGGCGGCCACTGCACCTTGGGGAACTGGGGGTCCTCGCTGGGGGCCCCTGGGGAGAGAAGTACACACAGGTTGGCTGGGACACTGGGCCCACCCAGAAGCCCAGACCTCATTCTTCCGTTCAGAATGCCAGCTCCCTCATCTGCAAAGAAGGGCTCGCCTTGAAAAGGTCGGGTGGAGAGGAGGCAGACCAAACACTAGCTAGCACTGGGCCTGGACCCCCCGGGGTGAGGGGAGTCCTCCTGACCCGCACCCCAGCACTCCAGTTTCCGTTCCAGTGCTCCCCCATATTTCTTAAAAAATATATTTCTATTGATTTCAGAGAGGAAGGGAAAGGGAGAGGTAGAAACATCAATGATGAGAGAGAATCATTAATCGGGTGCCTTCTGCCTGCCCCCTACTGGGGATCGACCTGCAACCCGGGCATGTGCCCCTGACCAGGAATTGAACCTGGGACCCTTCAGTCTGCAGGCTGATGCTCTATGCACTGAGCCAAACCAGCTAGGGCTCCTCCCCCATATTAACCCAGTCTTCCTTTGTCAGCGTCTCTGCTGGTTTCTACCAGACACGGGAAAGGGTGACTGGGAAGGACCTGGTCTGCAGGCTTTGGTTGGTCTGCTAGTATTTGTCTTGCCATTTTCTGAAATTTTCCAAGTTGTATACAGTGGAGATACGTTACTTTTGTAATTAAGTGGAAAACTTTTTTAAAAGAAGAGTTGGTAGCACATGATTCCACTGCAGCCCTTTGGGGCGGGTGGGAGTTAGTGCAGTCCCCCCCAGTGGGCCCTGAGGGGTGGGTGTGGGGAGGCCTGGGCCCTGGACGGGAAGATAGTGAGGAGCTGCCCTGCCCACCAGGCAGCTGGGACCCCAAGCAGGGCCGGGCTATGGGCAGAACCCAGGCTGAGCCCGGGGGCCTGCCAGGAGCCCCTCGCTCAGCGTCGCCAGGGAATGCCAATCTGCCCATCTCCTGTGGAGGAGGCACCGCTCCCGAAGGGTTTAATAGGAGAAAAGAAGTTGCTGGTCAGAATGAAGCCACGGAGGAGACCCAGAAGCAGATGGTTGTATTGGGGAGGGGGCGGCAAGTGGATTCCAAGGGTCCGGTGAGAAGTGGGGAGCAGACCTTGCAAAGTGAGGGCTCAGCCTGTGCCTCCCCTCCCACCACTGGGATTAGTTGTAATGGAAGGGACCCCCCACACTCAGAGAGGGTAGGGAACGGCCTTCCTTAGGTCCCTCAGAGAGGCCTGGCTCCTGGCCCACCAGCAGCAGCTGGGCCCCGAGGGAAGCTGGAAGCCTGCAGGGGTCATAGGGCTAGAAGGTCAGATGGAGCATTTGGTGGCAGGGGTGGGGCGGGGAGGGCAGGGGTGGGAGGAGACAGGCACGTGTCTTCTTTTCAAAGTCCACCAGGAGGCCCCAGGAGACCAAGACCAAGTGCAGCTGCCTGCACCACCACCTGCTCCATGCAGCTCCTCCACCCTCCCCTGCCCTAGGCCTTGTCCCCACCCACCACCCCTGGGCGGTCTGTGGTCTGTCCCAGTCACGCATACTCCCCTCTCCCCACAGACAAGCCCAGGCTCCCGCCCACAGATGGCTCCCTCCCCACCTGCTAGTCGGTCACCCGGAGATGAATGCTTTTGCCTACTGGACCCATCGGACTCCTGTGCCCAGGGAACAGAAGCACTGCCAACAAGGGAACTCAGCAGGCCAGGCCCCCCGGTGAAATCAGTCCTCCTTATTCTTCTAGAAAGAACCTGGTCTTTCTTTTCCCGCCCATTTTATCATTAGACTCCTGGGGGGGGGGGGTGGGGGTAGAAAAGCCCAGTTCTCATTTTCCTGTTGGTCTGAGTAAGGGGCCAATAGCCAGAAAGCAGGATGGGGAGACAGGAAAGGGACCCCACCAGGCCAGAGGGAGGGGCCCTGGTGCAGGGGGAAAGGAGCAAGGGCATCAGAAGAGCGGGTCTTAGAGCAGCGGTTCTCAACCTGTGGGTCGCGACCCCTTTGGGGGTCGAACGACCCTTTCACAGGGGTCGCCTAAGACCATCGAAAAACACATATATAATTACATAATGTTTTTTGTGATTAATCACTATGCTTTAATTATGTTCAATTTGTAACAATGAAATTGGGGGTCACCACAACATGAGGAACTGTATTAAAGGGTTGCGGCATTAGGAAGGTTGAGAACCACTGTCTTAGAGGGTCAAAGCCTTGATTTCCTCATCTGGAAAATGGGTGTAATGGTACTGATACACATAAATGGGTCTAGTCTCACCCCTCCATCCACTGGGACATGTGAAAGGCTCTGTGCACTGTGAAACGCTGTGACACACGGGGTGTTGTCACTTGGGGGACGACAAGTGTCCCGTCTCCTAACTCTGATCCAGGACTCCACAGTCCCCCCCATCACCCTCCCTCTGCAGGTGACACTGGCCTTGGAGGTGGCCCTTCCTTACCTGCGAGGCGAGCATTGACCTTGTTGTGGCTGGACCACAGCCAGAGAACAGCGCTGTCCCGACTGCCCACCCGGTGCATGGAGGCAGCAGCCATCTTCTCAAAGTGGCCAGCACAGTCTCGACAGCCGAAGAAGAAGCGGACGTAGCCCCGGATGGCCTGGAGGACCTCCTGGGCCTTGGCTGTGGGGAGAGGAGACGCCTTCACAGGGGCCCTTCAGACTGTCTGCCCCTGCCAGCCCCACCCCCTTCCCTCCACCGGCCCACATGGCCGCCTCTGCACGGGACCCCAGACCCCGGCCCATCCCATGAGGCGCCTAGGGTCTCCTTGCCTACTGGTCTCCACCTCCCAAGGGTCACTTTAGAGCTGACTCCATCTCCTCCCAAACTCCTAACTCCCTGTGTCTCACCTCTGCCACTGACGCAGGCCCTGTCACTTATTAAAGTCCCAACTTGTCTGCAGGACACTCAGCCTCCTTGAGAAGTGGCTAGAGAGGGAGGCAGGGCCAGAGCGCCCACCCCTCAACCCCTCTGCCCGCCCCCCGCACCCTCCATGGCCCCACTGCTTTGTGCTTCCTATTCTGACTTGCTCCCCATTGCACCTCATCCCTTGGGCTTAGGACCAGGAGTCCATCCTGATCTGGCCTGCACACCCTCTAATGTGTCTCCACCTCCCGTCCCCCCACCCCATTCCCTCCTATGGGCCCTGTGGACTGGCATCAGCACAGGCCTGATGATTCCCCACACCTTCCTGCTCTGACACTGGGCTCCTCCCTGAAGATACCAATGCTCCCCTCCCCCCACTCCATATACCTGAGGGCTGGAGGCAGGGAAGTGGCCTCGGGCGGTTCCTTCCTGCTGCAAAACCCCCAGCCCTTCAAAATGCATCTAGTCTCACCCCTCCATCCACTGGGTCATCCGCACGTTGACCCCCACGGCCAGGCATTGTTCCTGGCAGCATCAGCGCCCACACCCAGCCATGCCTTGGCGCTCTCCTCCTGCATCCACCCCAGTCGCCCACCACCCTCAACCTGCATTGCAACAGTCTTCACCTCCTCCGCCTGCCTGTCTCCGGACCTCCTCCCTTCTCACCTCCTTTAAGATTTTACTCCTGCAAATATCTTATTTTGTTATTGCATCATCACCTTCTCCCTTAATACGACATCATTCCAACTTCAGTGACGAAATCCCTTCTCTGACCCGTTACACCCCAGTGACTCCCCTCGCATTATCTCCAGTTTCTTCCCTGCTCTTGTTCTCTTCCAGCTCAATCCAACCAGGCTTTTCTCGCCACTAAACCACAGACAGCTCCTGCCAGAAAGGTCCCCAGGCCAGCGGCACAGGGCACCCACTCGGCTGACTGTCTCGAATCGCTCTATTGGGGACGCCCTCTTGAAACCTCGGGGGCTGCACCTTCTTTGTCTCCTTTGCTGGCCCTGCTCCGCGAGCCCAGGCCCAGATGCTGCAGAGCCCAGAGCTCAGGCCTCCGCCCTCTTCTCTGTCCACCCCCCCCCCCGTGGGCTCACCCAGTCCTCGGCTTTAACTGTCCCCCGTGTGCTAATGACCACGAGATGTGCATCTGCATCCTGGACCTCTCTCCAGAACTCCAGACTCAACTGTCTACCTCTCCATTCAGATGTCTCATGGGCACTTCCCTGCCCCCGCCCCCCGTCCACTCCCCATTCCCCACCCCTGCCTCCAGTCTTCCCATTTCTCGGCTCATAGGACCATCATCTGCCATATGTTCAGGTCTAACAACTCCGGGTTCCACCCTGAGTCCTAGATCATGCATATGCTTCACCCAATCCATCGCTGAGTCCCATCAGCTCCACCCCAAGTCCGACCCACTTCCTCCATGTGCACACCTCCAGCTCTGGTCTGGGCCTCCACTGCCTATCCTGGACTAACCAGAGGCAGAGCTTCGGAATCGGCTGCCCTGCCGCCACCTCCCCCACTGCAGCCCACCCTCCGCCCGGAATCCTTCTCAGGCACTGATCATTCGCATCGTGCCCTGCTTACACTCGCCAAGGGTTCTCGAAATGCTAAACCGATCCAAACCCCGCGCCCACCTCCTCTGCTGCCTCTCCCTGCAGGCTGCACCACACTGGCCTCCCTCTGGCCCCCTACATGCCAGGCTTGTGCTCTGCACCCTAGTCCTGGGCCGGTGTGACAGGCTGACTAAAACCCGGGCTGAAGTCCTAACTCCCGCCCTAACGCCGTGGCTGTATCTGGACACAGGGTCTTTAAAGAGGTGATGATGTTAAATGAGATCATTAGGGCGTGTCCTGGCTGGTGTCCTTGTAAGAGAGGAAACCAGGACACAGCCACGCACACAGTGAAGACACAGGGAGGGGATGGCCACCTGCAAACCCAGAAGAGGCCTCAGCAGAAATCGACCCTGCCAACACCTTCACCTTGGACTTCCAGCCTCCACAACTGTGAGCAATAAACTTCTGTTGGTTAAGCGCCCCCCCACCCCCGCTCCGCCCCGTGTGTGGCACTGGGTCATGGCGGCCTAGCAAACCAATTCGGTCTAGAAGTGTCTCCCAGCTGCTTCCTGCCCCATGCAGGTCTCCGCACAGGTCATCTCCCCAGAACAGCCTCCCCCAATCCCCTCTAAACACAGCAGCCCCTCCCCTGGGCCCTCTCACACCCCACTTGGCTCTGTCCTCTTCACAGCACTCATTGTCCTAACGGAATGGTCTATTGTGCGTTTACTGTCGTTTCCTGCCACTGGAATACTGTCCCCTTGGGACAAGGACTTCCACCTCGTACTGCTGTGCCCACCGCTGTGGCAGGGCCCGGCACGTGGGAGACATTCCGCAAACACTGGCTGACACAGTGATGGCTGGCTGTCCCCACACCCGGCAGCTCCCCTAGTTCCCTGTCTCTGTTGGGGATGGGATGCTCTTCCTTCCGAGCTCAACTCCTGTTCTTCTGTAAAACACAGTATCAACGGAGCCACTGGAAAACGGAGTTGGAGCTGCCATCCCAGAGGAGCTGCCGTGCCCGTCTTAGGCCTCAAATCTCTGGAATGGGCTTAAAGCAACATTACGTCTCAAGGAACTGCTTGCAAATATGACCAAAAAACAAAACAAAGCAAAGACATGACTACTGTGCCGATGGCTCCCAGACTGGAAATTAAAAACCTTCTTTAGAATTAGCATCTCTACGTTGGCTGATCTGCACCAACAGAAATGCCTCCTTCACGGATGTAACTGTTCTCCATCCCGTCCTCATAAATGCCCCAATCAGCATGCACGTGGGTTTCTACCTGAATCAGTGCTTCCCAAGTAGGTCTTCTTTTCATCCTTTTTAAAATCTCAAGTAAGTGCTTGTTGCCTCTCCCTTTGGCCTGTTATTTTTAAGTTAGCACAACTCACTCGCTTACCCTTCCAGACAGGGGGAGCACCTCCTTTCTCTCTGAACAACCTTCTCGCCCCCTTGGCTCCTGGCCCACTCCACCTCCCACCTGTCCCACGTCCGCCCGGAGCAGGGACTGTCTCTTTTCCACCTCCGCCTCCTCCAGGCTGAGCCAGGGCCTGACATGACCCTGGTCCCCGGTAAACGTGGACTGGGCTGGACTGGGCCACCCTTTTGGTCGCTAGGCGGAGGGGTGAGGTAGGCGGACCGTGGAGCGCAGCTGCACAGTTTGGGGAGGGATCAGGACGGGAGGGGCGAGGTGTCCCCCAGCTTCCCCTAGAAAACGATTTTTCAGCGGGAAGCAATAAAACTATTCAAAGCACGTGGTATCAGCCATGTAAACTGTGAAATAGACACAGTTCTTTTCTTTATAGGAGTATAGAAGATGGAACCACTCGTTTTTCACGAAGACTGAAAACGAAGCAAGCTTATGGCTCCCAGGAAGCCAGGGAGAGCCTGAGGCCTGAGTTTGTGGGGCACCATCCCAGAGCAGGGGCAGGACGGGTTGGCTCTTCCAGGTCCGCCCCCATGGTCCCATGCTGGTTGTGTCAGAATCCCCTAAAGAGGGGCCTGTAGCGGGGAGCCAGTGGAGGCAGGACAGGGCCAGGCTGAGGCCTGGGGGTGCACAGGCCCCGAACTCACCTGTTTCTTGAGAGCGATCGACATTGTGCCGTGTTGCCTGCACGGTCAGGAAGTGGAAGAGGACCCACAGGGAGCAGGGAAAGCCCCGAAAATGTGGCTCGCTCCCCTGGCAGCCGACCCAGTTCACCTTCTTGGCAATCACAACGCCCTAAGGGACACAGACGAACGTGAGGGCACACACGGAAACGGGAAAGGATGGAGATGGGAAGGGAAGCTTCCAGGAGACCGACCGGAAGGTCTGCTCACAGCCTAAGACGAATGAGCTCCCTCTCTCAGGCCACCACCTCGAGTGGCATTTCCCTTCCTCTGGCCACACCCCCCAAAGGAGCATCAGAGCTGAAAAGCTGTGACGCAGGTCAACCCACATGCTTATTCCAGTTTCAACTTCTCCATCTATAAAACGAGGGGCTGTTCTTGGAGGTTTACTGTCCAGCTTTGACATCCTCCGAGTCTGTATGGCTCTGCCCCCTGCTGGCTGCCCTGGCCCACCTTCACGAACAGCCGTGAGCGGCCTGGAGAGGCAGAGGAGCCACGCTGAGTGAGCAGCCCCGGTGCTTGGAGGCCACAGGGGGCAGCTGTTAAAAATGGTCACAACCAGTGTCTCCCAATCGCTTTTAAATCCCAACCCAACCACGCATGGGCCTAGACGAGTGACTTTGCCTCAGTTTCTTCATCTGCTAAATGGGGATAATACCCACCTTCAATTAATGTTGGGGGATTAAGATATGCATGTAAAGAGCTCGACAGTAACTTACTAATGATCAATGGAAAGACCCAACCAAGATCACTGATTCCTTCCTGAATGCAAATGGGTAGAGGTCAGAGGTCAGCGTTACCCCTCCACTCCCACAGTCACAGAGATGGGAGAGGATCTTCCACTGCTGCCCCGACTCACCTCCTTCCTGTTTTCCAGGGCAGTCTGAAAGAAACCGTAGGGAATTTTCTTCCTCTGCTGCTTCTGGAGCCAGTTGTTGACGGAGTGCAGGAAGTTCTGTACCAAAGGTTGGCCGGGGAAGTACTAGGGGAGAAACAAGTGCAATATGGAGGTGAGAACCCATCCCCCAGGGCCCCCAGCCCTGGGGTGGGGGGCAAAGTGGGCCAAGGTGGGAAAACATTCTGCCTAAGACACAGATGTGGCTCCTCACCACCTTGGCTCTGGGCACCTGGTGAGGGGAGGAGGAAGGGTGGGGGAGGAGACAGGCTGGAAGTGGGGCTGTGCCCTGAAGGCCTCCTCCTCCCGAGGCTGGGGCTCCTGTGTGGACCCCTGACCGCACGCTGCCACGGGGAGAGGGCTGCTGGGACCCTGGGGACCTTCCACAGGGCAGCTGACTGGCTGACTGACCGACCGGCTGGGCGAGGCTGGCCAGCAGCCTTTCATCTGTATTCCACGCTGCCAGTGGGGCCGAGGCCGCCCACGGGCTCATAGCCAAGATCCCAATCTTGATGGCAACTCCCAGTAGTCTCTGAGGAACACGAAAAGCTGCTCTGACAAAAAGTCAGCTCAAATCTGATTAGTATCAGCACTTTAAAGCCACAGAGACCCCAGGGAGGAGGACAGATATGTGTGTGCGTGCGAGTGCATGTGCACAAATGCACGGGGGCCGGGGCAGGAGTGAGGGGGCACAGCTGAGCAGGTCAGGAGGACAACAACGAGAAGCCTGCAGAGGACAATTCGAGCAAAGGGGACCATGTGAGAGAGGAAAGGTTCTGGAGATCCGAACGATCACTGAACAGAAAAACCTGCCAAATGACCAGTTTCCTGGGAAAACCATTCCCTAATCTTATCAGCCCTCCTGGTCAGGACACGTCCCCCGAGGGAGAACCGGGAAGAAACCTGGGCTCGGACACGCTGCCTCTCGCTCAGCTCACACAAGCTCTGGCTCTCAGCACAGATTTACAGCTTCAAGTCAGCATCCCTCCCTGACCTTCGCCCGACATCCGGTCTGGGAACCTTCTGCCCGCTAAGCCCAGGGTGTCAGGAGGAAGGATGAATTAAGGGGCTCTGGGCGACAGGGAGGCACCCTCTCTGCTGAGAGCAGGGGAACCCTGGTGACCACACGCCACCCAGTGGCCAGTCCTGCCAGACACTCATGTGAGAGAGCAGAGAGCGCCCCAGCTCAGGCAGGCAGGGGCAGGGGCGATGAGAGTGCCTCCCACCAGGCACAGTGGGGCTGAGGCAGGGGGAGCTCTGTGGCCCTCCTTGCTCTCGGTGCCCCATGCACGTGGGGGGTGAGGGCTTGGGTTGGATGACATGTGGGTGCAAGTCTCAGCTCGGCCGCCCGCTGGCTGAAGGGCCTGGGACAAGGTGCTTTCCTCCCCGGGCCTTCCTCCCCTCCCGAAGATGGGATCCCCACCCTGTGGTTTGCTATAAGAATTACAAACGAGCTAATATACAAAGAGCACTTCGCAGAGACGGGCACCCTGTCCGAGCTCACGAAATGGTAGCTGCTGCTATTGTCACTGCGCAGGACGAAGCTGCCCACAGAAGGGCAGGGCTGAAATGGTCCGCAGTCTCCAGGGATGTGGGCCGGCTCAAACGGGCCCTCTGCTCTCAGTCCTGCACAGCTGGGCGCCCCTCTGTGCTGAGGCCAGCCTGTCCTCTCTGAGCCCTGGCTTCGGGCAGGGCGGGAGGTGGCCTTCATTCCCAAACTCATTCCCAGCTCCTGCTGAGGGCAGGGGCTCAGCCGGTGCCATCGAGAGGGTGCTGTTTAAGCCTCTGCCCGGCTCCAGCATTTCTGGGACCCATTCTTCCCCTCTGGCTGCAAACAGTCCCCCTGGGGCCAAACAAGACATAGTTTCCCTGGGCGGTCCTTTGTGGAGGACCAGCCTGGGGCGAGGGGTGCTCGTCTCTTTCTGAGCGACGCCTGCGAAGCACCCTGGGTGTCAGGTGGGCAGCACACAGAGCCACCCAGGACGTCCTGCCTCTGACTCTCTGGGCCAGCCAGCCCAGGCCTCAGCAACTTGGGGACCCAGCAGCTCACAGGGCGTCGGAGGAAAGGCCTCTATTATCAGAATGGGCTGGAGGACAGGGCTCCACATGGGGGGACCTCAGGCAGGGCCAAGGGCTGTCTTGCCTGGGACGGTAACAGGTAACAGCACTGTGATGAGCGCTGGCGACCTCAGGGGCCCTCCGTGTCATCACACATGGGGGTGACTAAGCCAAGTGAGCAGAAGGCCAGGCCGGCCAGGTGGGCAGAGGGACCAGACTGGAGGGCAGTTCGCGAGGAGAGGAGCGGTCACTCCCAGAGGTGACAGCCCGGCTGCCCGCAGACCTGCCCCCGGAAGCTCAGACCTGGCGCCCAGGGCTGAGGATGCTGAGTCAGCGGTCAGGCTCTGAAGGGGACCGGAGCGCGGATCTGACTCAGCCGCCCTCAGCGGCCAGAGCCAGGGGTTGAAGTAGGGCTCCTGGCAGATACAGAACCAGAGAGGACACAGGGAGGGAGCAGCAGGCAGGTGCAGAGGGAAGAGGCAGCCCACACCCCACCTGCAGAGGAGCACGGGGCATGGCAGAAGGCACAGGCTCTGGAGCCCGACTCCCCAGTTCACATCCCCGTCACCTCCTGTCACACCTCCTCCTGCCGGGAGGTGGAGGCCTCGGGCAAGGCTCCTGAGCACCCCGGGCCCCTTCACTGGGGGCGATGCTCTCCACCCTGCAGCCAGGAGAGGAGGGGGATTAAATGCCTGGCACACAGCAGGCCCTCCGTTTGTAGCAGCCACATTTCAGGGCGTGGCCTCGTGGGCAGGAAGGAGGAAGGCCCGGCTCGGGCTTGGCACCTGGGCCTGGCTCTGCTCAGGGTCTGGGAGGGCACAGGCGATTCAGAGGCTCATTCCCTCACTGCGGCGCCCACGGGTCCCGCTTCCCAGTGACCACAGCAGGCAGTGAGGCCACGCTCCAGGGTTACCCCCGAGGCCGCTGGGAAATCCCCGGACATCTGGCCCGTCCCACCCACGCCCCTGCACAGGGCTGCCCCTGGCAGTGCGGGCTGACGGGCATGGCTGAGGCTGCAGGGCAGCAGCCCACGGTGGCCTAGAACAGCCGTGGGGTCAGAGGTCCAGCCAGACCATGGGCTCCCGAGGGAGGGGCCGGGCTGCGTGCGCACTGGCCCTCGGGGAGCTGCGCAGACGTGGGCCAGGGCCCGCTCACCTGCGCCAGGACTGCCACAAACTTTTTCAGGGCCACCAGGCGCTGCCCCTCCAGGAGGGAAAACTTGCCCACTTCCACCCGCAGGATGTAGTGCAGTGCGGACTCCAGGTCAGCCATGTAGATCTTGGAGCTGAGGACCCAGAGCGGGCAGAGAGAGAAAGGGGTGTTAGCCACGGGGCAGGCGGGGAGGCGGCCCAGGGCTAAAGGGAGAGACCAGGAAGGCCACCACTGGTGGTCCCAGAGTCCTGTAAGCTGGCTCTGGCCTCTGCTAGTAACTGTGGCCTTTTATTGAATGTCTGTGAGCCTCAATTCCTCATCTGTACGATGGGATAATAAACTGCTCACAGGTAGGCAGCTGAGGGGATGAAATGAAAACACAAATATGTACCCCCAGCAGCTCTGGGCATGGAGTAGGGGTTCCCCTCTGCGGCCCAGGGCCAGCCCTTCCATGACTCACGAAAGGTGTCTCAACTTCCTCAGGCCACTCGAGGAAGGTTGAGTTTTATTCTCAGTCTGAACAAAGACCCCGAGTCAGACAGACAGTCCCACACAGTGCGGCTCTGAAAGGGCTGGGCACGGGGGGCAGGCAGGGCTCCGTTCACATCTCCTGGCTGGACCAGCCGGGGGAGGCTGCAGGCTCCAAGCTGGCTGCTCTACCCTGGGGCCCACTCACTGGGGTCTGGGCTCAGGGCGCTGATGGGCAGAGCTCCTCGAGTGCTGGCTGCTGAGACCCGAGTCCTGGCCTCAGTTCTACAGGGGCTACCTCTGGGAGCTGGGCCACCTCACTCTACCCCCTGGGCCTCAGGGTCACCCTACCCCCTGGGGTTGAAAGGAGCCAACAAGGTCAGCTCACAGGGGCGGGGGCGGGGGCACTGTGACCACCTGCACTTGACTCTCGTGGAAAGTCTCCTGTCTGCTCCACGTGGTGTCCCTGGCCTCAGTTTACCTCTCCAGCCTGATGTTCTGCCTGAGGAGTGGCCTCATGACTGAGAGGGAGAATGCATGGAAGGTGCCGGCACAAAGCTTGGCACATGAGGCCAGTGAGTGTCACCTAGGACCGTCCCAATGCTCTGAGTCATCATAATGTGAATGGTCATGACGACCATTCCAACCTGTTAGTGTCGCTTTCCTGCTCCCGATTTACTAAAATCCTCTCCGTCGGCACTTTCCACCCTTGAAGTCCCCGAGGCTGGGGTGCCAATTCCTTCGGGAAGTCAGATGGCCTTTCCCCCGTTCTCTCACGCAGCCCCCTTTCTAATGTGCTTGGTTTGCCGCTGGGTGTTGGCACAAGAGGTTGACAGCCTTGTCCCTCTGCCCCAAAAGCAGGGATTCTACCACAAGAGTGGAGTCTCAGCACCTCAGAGAGAAGAGTAGCTTTCTCCTGCTTACAACTGTGCGCAAAGACACAGGCCACCTCCACGTGCAGTGAGCTCCCCGCCTGGCCCTGTGGCTCAGGTGGCTGGGCGTCATCTGTGCACCGAAATGTTGCGGGTTTGATTCTCGGTTGCGGGCTTAATCCTTGATGGGAGGGCGTGCAGGAGGCAGCCAATCAATTTCTCTCTCATATTGATGTTTCTCTCCCTCTCCCTCTCCCTTCCTCTCTTTCTAAAAGACAATTTAAAAATCTTTTTTTTTAAGTAGTGAGCTCCCAACACCAGAACATTCAAGTGAAGTTGGTGCCTTCCTAGAAGGAAGCTGGGGAGGGGCTGCGTGGGCCGCACGCCATCTGCTGGTGCATCTGTATCACACTGCCTCGCACGCAGCAGCCCTCAAAACGACTTGCTGCCCTGGCTGGTTTGGCTCAGTGGATAGAGTGTCAGCCTGCGGACTGAAGGGTCCCAGGTTCGATTCCGGTCAAGGGCATGTACCTTGGTTGTGGGCACATCCCCAGTAAGGGGTGTGCAGGAGGCAGCGGATTGATGTTTCTCTCTCATCGATGTTTCTAACTCTCTATCCCTCTCCCTTCCTCTCTGTAAAAAATCAATAAAATGTATTAAAAAAAACACACAAAAAAACGACATGCTGAAGAAACCACTGCCTGGGTTGGGGGCTGGTTTGGAGGCCACGGATGATCTTTCCAAACCGATTCTACTTGTTTTTAAAGAGAGTTAAGCTTCAGGAGTGTGGGTATTGGGAAGTATTCATTCCATCGCAGGATACAAGGAAATGCTGCTGTTCACACATCCGGGCTCTCCTGGGAGCCCCCAAAGGCCACGGAGGTCGGGGCTAAGACGGCATGTGCTCACCCCATGACAAGGAACGGGGTGTGGTATGAGGGGGCGTCTGTGAGCAGAGGGAAGGCTGGGTGGGGAAGGGTGAGGAAAACGGAGTGGCCTTACCGGTCTGCAACTTTCCACGCGGTGGGAGCGACCGTATTCGCAGTGATTGGCGGAACCGTGGTCTGGGCAGCCTCCCGGGTGGCCCCAGCGAACCTCTGCAGGTAAGCGGTATAGAAGGACCTGGATTCCATAAGCCTGGAGGGGAGAGCGCCACGGAGGAGAGGTGGTGAGTACAGACACACAGAACCCAGAGCCAACTCACGGCAGGAGCGGAGGCAGGGGCTCATGGGACAGAATGTTCACCAAGAAATAGCTGATCTTGGTTCAGTCTCAGCCACAGTGAGGTCAAAGCCGGGCACCTATGCCTCACTTTCACCTTCCTAGTCACTGTTCACGCTGATGACAAACCCTATGTGCAAACGCAGCTCGCCTGCCCTGAGAGGCGGTGGGCCGAGCACCTCGGGCCCGTGGTCCTGCCCAGGACAGGACAACACCTTCCCGAGACCAAAGGTGCAAAGTGGCGCTGACCACAAGGAAGCTCTGAGGAGCCAGAGGGGACACCGCTCCCCAAGGAAGTCATGGAAGTTTCAGAGTGATTTTCAAAAGCGAGCAACAACAGATAAACCAGGAACACGCTCAAATCCTTTTGATTTGTTTCTCTCTCCTGATAGAGAGGGGCTCACAGGGGAGGCGGTGTCCCCTGGCCGGGGCCCGGGAGGGCGGCTGAGAGGACAGTGGCAGTGTGGGGGGACCCAGGGGAGCTGGCATCGGGAAGCATCGCTTTCCACTCCGCTGACCTGGCCCGATGTTTATCAATGAGCAGATGGCTCGGAAGCAGCGTCGTCACAAACAATTTTCCCCTCCACCAGCTCCCAGTGAGGAAACAATGCCCCCCGCCCCTGATCTCACTCATTTGTAGAATATAATCAACAAGGCCCAGGCTGCCTGGTGATCGGGCCAGCGGGGCACGTGGCCGCCCTGCCCAGCCTCAGCGCAGGGTGGCACTAATGGCCCAGAGGGACAGCTCACTGGGCACCCCAGCGAGCCTTGATCTCCCGGCCCTCGAGCTCCTGCTGGCAGGGCCAGGCCGACATCAATCATCTGCCCAGGGAGGGCACGAAGCACCATCTGGCGCCGTTTAACGGGCCATTCAGCAGCGGCAGCCTGACGGGCCGAGGGTGGCCTGATTGTTTTCTCTTGGCATTTGGAGCTGGCTATTGTCTGGCTCCTAATGAACTTTTCTGCAATTAGGAAACCAAGGGAGGGAGGGTCAGGCATACTTGAGTGCCTGCCAGGCCTGCAGCCTGCCAACGTCCGTCTGGACAGAGGCGGGAGGACAGGGGCAGGGCTGCGGTGGGGACGGTGCCTGGGGCCTGGGGCCCAATGCCTGGGCCCGACACGGTCCCATCCCACAGGCAGACGTTGGCTTCTCCTGCAGAGGGTGCTCCCGGCCTGGCCACGGGCTCCTCGGAAGGTTCCCAGGGGAAGAACTGTCAGCCCCTGAGAAAGCGGGCAGGCTCTCCGAGCAGGAAGGATGGGCACAGGGAGGGAGGAGACTGGGAGGGAAGACCACACTCACACAGGAACCCGGGAGGCAGAGCCGTTCCGAAACAGCACGTAGCAAGACGGGAAGTCGGTGACACCGAACTTGCTCACCACGTCGCCCTCCGTGTTGAGGACCCTGCGTACCGCAATGCCTTCGCGCTGGGACAGGTCCAGAATCACCTGCAGAGACAGCCAGGCAGTTGGGGCCACGCCACAGGGCAGAGGGAGCCCTGACTGCACCTGGGTGGCAGCGCCATCCACTCTACACCTTTCAAATGACAGACTGTTGTGATGAGCCAGTCTCCGGCCACCAACCAAATCCACCCCAGAGGTAACAAGAGCCAAACACTGCCCAAGGGAGGGGCCCGGAACCGCGCGTGCCACACATCCAGAATTTCCCAGGGCAGCCCCAATTTAACATCATTTTCTTCCCAGTGAAAGCAAGTCGTAAAAGGCAAAATAGAACATGGGCTCAATTTACGCTTATTTTCATAAGGTTTTCTAGCTATATTCCAAGTCAGAAAAACATACCGAGTCAGTCATGATGGTTTTATTTTTAGAAAGAAATAGGAAGGGGAACAAGGATATTAGCTAACATCTATTGAGCATGTGTTACGTGCTGTATATAGGCTGCTTCATTTAATCTTCAAAATAACACTATGTAACAGGAACGATCAGCAGACCAGGCTGCCTGGATTGGAACCCTGGTCCCACTGCTTCAACCTCTCCCTGACTCAATTTCCTGACTTGCAGAATTATAACAACAATACCAGCTTTAGGGGATTGAACAGGTTAATTTTATAAACGTGCTCATGACAATGACTAGCAAATAGTAGGTACTGTAAGCATTCATTTAAAAATAGATAGATAAGAAACTATTGTAGATGAAGAAACGGAGGCTTAGAGGTGAACCGTGTTTCCAGGTCACACAGCCAGGGAGAGCCATCGGGCTGCAAAGCTGGGCCCGCCCCCTCCTGCCGCTGAGACGAATCCCCACCCTGAGCACCTCTCCATGGACAGGCTGCAGGGCCCCTGTTCCTGGTTACTCTGGGGACGTGGGGGAGAGGGAGAAGAGCTGATCCCGATGAACACTTATCCATCACTTGCATGTGACAGGCAGGACCCCCGGCCTGGATGGGAGCCCGGGAGGGTCAGGCACGTCTCCACACAGCTCCCCGTGCTTCCCTTCTCAGGGCGAAGGGCCTGGAGACAACGCACAGCTCTCAGCTGAGCTTGATGAGTGTCAGGAGGAAAGCCACTCAGAGCCAACAGCGGTGCTGACCTGCGCCCCACCCCCCCATCTCCTCGGTCCCCGGGCGCTGCCCTGGCACCTCTCCCATGCACTGGCCCGTCCCACCTTTGCGTCTGGAGGACCCGCACGTGGCCTAGTCCACGAGCCGGCGGTGGGAAGGACAGCGCTCTGCGTTAGGCCGGGGGACTGGATCCTCACCCTGCACCCACTCGGTGCCAGCCACGCATCCGGCCCTTTTCCTAAACTGCCTCAGGTGACTTTCCCAACAATCCTCTGAAGAAAGGCAATTATCACTGCTTTACTGACAGGAAAATGAGGCTCAGAACAGTTGAGCAGCTTGATCATGACATATCATGTATGTGATGGAGTGGAACTGCAAACCTGCCTGGTTCTGTAACTGCCTCCCCTGTGAGGGACCCCACTTTCTAATGAAGGACTGAGTGATCTCTGATGTTATCCGCCCCCCAATATATTTCACTCCAATTCTACGGGGATGAGAGGAGGGCCAGGGTGGAGACAGCACGGGCTCTGGAGGCAGGCAGAGCCGGTTCACAAAGCCTGTGCGGCAGTCGATGGCTGTGTGATCTTCGACAGGGTACATGCTCGTCACTGTTAATCGTGAAGATTAGCGGCTCTGTGTGCCAGACTCCAATCCAACGCGCAATAAACTGCAGGTCTTACTGAGGTTGGTTTCGATGAAGGAGATAAACACAGACGCAGGGCACGTGACATACAGGATGGTCAGTGACAGTGCATTAACTTGGTATGGTGACAGAGGTAACTAGACTTTCTGTGATTATTTAAAAATGTATACAAATGTCAACTCACTGTGTTGTATACCTGATGCTAATACAATATTGCATGTCGATTACACTTCGATTAAAAAAGAAAAAGAAAAATATATACAAAGGTTTTAAAACAGGAAGACCCAGCTGCTGCACTTCCCATTTCTCCCAGCAGGGGTCAGGCCTGTGCTGGGTTCATAAGTGAGACATGAATGAGACCCAAGAATTTGGGGGACAGCCTGCTCCTGAACTCACTGGGCTCTCCCCCAAGGGCTATCCAGAAGTAACAAGGAGCCTGAGGGCAGCTCACCTCTCTACCCAGGTAGGAGCCTTTCTTTTCAAAGATCAGGGCCAGGCACTCTTCGTCGTTTCTGGCAAAGAACCCATCGATCTCCTCCAGCCTGCAAGAGACAAGGCGGCAGTCACTCCACAGCTGGTGGGAAAGAAGCCGAAGTGCTGGTGACCCAGCGGACACTGGGCAACAGATACAGCCACACCAATCTCCTCTACTCAAGGCTTCATGGAGGTCACCCCCGCCTGCGCTCCAGGGGGGTGAGGGGGTAAACCAAACCCTTAGTCTCAAAGGACGGTGCCCCTTACCTAACCTTGGCTCTTCATCTCACCCACCTGGCGGGTTTGCTTTGCCATCCTGTCTCTTTAAAAGTCAGGAGGGAGGAGGGGTGGTCTGGGGAGGAGGACGGGGAAGGGACACCTGGAGACCAGTTGTCTATGTTCTGGGTAAGGCCCAGGCGTAGTGAATACGGATTCTGTTGGTTCCCTAGGAGAATGGCGATCAGTAACCCCCGAGACAAGCCTTGGTCGGTGGCAAGTCACTACCGACGGGGGATGTGCTCCTTCCTCTCCTCGAGAAGGCGTAAGAAAGGAACCGAAGAACCAGAAAGTCCTTGGTTCGGGCGCCCGCACACGCTATCTAATCCAACCTCCTTACTTTATGACGAGGAAACAGGCCCAGGCATAGGTGGAAATTAATAAGGTGGCAAATTTTCTTATGTCCCAAAAGCAGAGAAATAAGCTACCGATTATTTTCATAACTCCAAGTTCAACCGAAAATAAATGCCACAAACAAAAATGATTTGTCTCCTGGCTCTACTTAAGAGCAGAACATCATCACACAGCCTAAGAGGCCACAGGTGATGGCAAGTGAGACGGCACGGGGAGGGGGGCTACATCTTCCTGTTACCCCCAACCTAGTTCCCGCCACTGGTGATGTGGTGGTGATCACCTCAAAACAGAAGGCACAGCGTGGGGCCAGCGCTGGCACCCAGCCCAGCGACAGCACAAATGGGTATGCCAGAGTGGGGGGGCCAGAGTGTACCCCAGTCAGCGGGTGGAAAAAGGCGCGGCTCTGGCCCCCGCCTGTCGGGCACATCGTTTGTGCTGTCGCTGGGCAGGGCTCCAGCACTGGCCCCCGTGTTACATAGGGTGTTGCCCTAACTGGCCACAGAGAGGAAGACATGTAGGTTGACAACTGCACCTACAAACCCAACGCACATGACTCCTCATTTTCCCTAAGTCCCCCTCCTCCGGGGGCCTCACGGACACCTGGACCCAGCATGTAGTCTTGGTGTGGTTTGGGTCCCAGGAGGCACCCATGCCAAGCCGGGACCCTGCTCCTTACTTCATCCGTTTCTCAGTGACCGTGTCTCTGCCTCTCATTTTCTCACATCCCTCGTGGTGCATTTTCAGCACCTCATTTTCTTAGAAAAGGGGCAATTCTGGAAGCCTATCTGGAACGCAGATACAGGCCCTCAGCCCCCAGGCCTGACCCTTGGCAGTACAGGGAGCAGAGTCTCACCCCCACCGCAGTCACAGCCACTGCTCAGAAAAAACAATCACCTTCGCTTTCCAGGCACCAGGAAGAACCAACCTGGGTCCCCTTCCTGCGATCCCCACCGCCCTCTCGCCCCTAGGCCTGTGGTCCTGGCCCACAGGGCATCGAGCCCACCCCGTCCCCAGTACCCGGTCGGCTCCAGTGGAGGACAGGCAGGGGGCCACGTGGCTCCATGGGTCTCCAGTGCGTCAATGAGCCTCTCCCGCAGCGTCTGCATGTCAGCTCCAGCCACTATGAAGGAAGACGGACACGGGGAGGGGCGTGAGGAGAGCAGAGGGGATCCAGCGCCCCGTCAGCTTCACCCCCAGAAACAAAGGGCCCAGGAAGAGCAGAGCGTGTCAGGCCTGCTCTGTACTCACAGCCCTGCGCTACGCAAGGGGACTCCTCCCTCAGACCCGAGTCCCTCCTGTCAGGCCCGCACTTCTGATGCCAACCCCTGGCATTGAGGGAGATTCTGGGAACACGGGACCCTCCTCGCTCCCCGGACCCTGGATGGACCAATATGGAAGGGCTTGCCACCCTCTCTGCTCAAGGGCACCTTCCAGCCGGGCCGGAAGGACAGGTGGAAAACACATATGCTGCTTTCCGCCGGGGAACTCCTCACTCTGCAGACCTGGCTGCGCTTTTGTCCCAGCAGAAACCCCCGTACAGAGGGAGGCAGGAGAGGAAGACGTCACCAACGCCCACAGGCCAACGGCAGCCAGGACACCCACCTGCCAACGTCGCTCCAGGGCCACCCTTGGAAAAGGCCTTGAAGAACTGGAAACAAACACACAGGCAGTCAGTGAGTGGCAGGTGCGGCTGAGGGCAAACGGGGTGCCTCCTGGAGCTGCGTTCAGACCCAGCTGCTCATGAAACTGGTGGCTCTGGACAAAGGACCTAAGTTGGTGAGCGCCCGTTTCTTCATGTGGAAAAGCCGATGGAGCTGGATGCAGACTTCCTTCCCCACTGTCCTCGCACCCAACCCCTAACCCGCAGCCTGAGGCGCCGAGGGAGCCTGGAGGCAGCCGCCCACACGCTTGACGGCAGGTGACTGGGCTCACCAAGCCCCAGAGCCAGCACGAACGGCGGGAAGGTGTGCTGCATGAACGAATAGGAAGACCACTGCTACTCTCCCTTGCAGACCCATCTGACAACATAAAGTGAAGTGCGGTCAGACATGCCCTGGAATTGTCAGCCGCCTGCGGAGGCCATCTGTCCTTGTCCCTGGTCTTGGAAAAGGGGGTGGAGGCTGCTGTCTGTCTACTCAACTCCCCCCCTGGCTCAGCCGACGCCCCACGTTCGGTCCTGCTGATGGGTGGGCCGGAGCCTCTGAAGAAATAGGTCTGTAACAGACAGGCCAATTGGACTTACCGCTTTGCCCTTTTCCCACTTACATGACACCCCAGGCCCAGCCTGTCACTCCTGGGTGAGAGGACAGACAGACAGACGGAAGTAAGGGAGCGGCCAGAGTTCAGGAGTCCTGCCAACAGCCACGGAACTGCTGGGAAAGAGCCCGCAGCCGGAAGGGACTTCTCCTGAGGTCCCTAACCTCGGGGCCACTGGGAACACCGTTGGCCGCTGCCTCCAACAGAGTGGCCCCAGGCTGGTGGCGGAGGCGGCCCCTGCTGCACGCTGGCTGTGTGGGCAGTCATGAACCTCTAGGAGCCGACATCTTTACAGCGGGGATGACACCATATATACCATGAAGAGCTGCTGTGAGGAGTCAATGATAATACCTCTAAAGAGCTTAGAACGGTGCCCGGGAAATACGGTAAAGGGGTCACGAAATGTCATCATCATCATCATCCCTCCCCTTGTTCCTGCCTCTTAAACACCAGGTGAGAACATGAATGGAAACTTTCACTCTGGGTGAGAACCACCCACTGCCACCTGCCACGCACACTCCGTGTTCCTAATGGAGTTCTTCGCAGCGACTGAACATTTGGAATGAACAACATCGCATGCTAGCCCGACCCTGGTAAAAACAATCGCGAATGTCTTGGACTGTGACATGAGAGCAAATAGGAAAGCGTGTGCAGGCATTTAGGGCTGACGTGGTCTCACAAAACGCACCTCTCTGTGGTCCGGGTGCTCACACACAGTAACCCCAAGGCTGATCCTTACAGCTGTGGTTTCCATGGCGACGGCACCCCTTCATGCACAGACAGACCAGGCCCCGGCTTGCTCCACAGGCAGAAGACACTCCTGACACCTCGGAGCCTGACACCGCTGGCTTTCCCAGGGCTACAGCTGGCACCTTTGGTGACGGCGAAGGAACACAGTAACGTCCTCACCACCGGCAGGTTACCAGGTGCCTTTAGAAGAGGCGGGCGTTACCGCCATCAAAAGGCAGCCTCCCGGACCTTCTGAAGGCCCAGCCACAGGCGGGCGTGGAGTCAGACAGGAGCCGGGGTTAGCGAGAGTGACCCAGGGGGATGCAGGGACTCCAGGGAAGGGCTCACCCACAATAAGAAATTTTTTGATATTTGCCACCATGGTAAAACAAAGACTTATATTTTTGACATTTATTTTATATATTTAAATGCCATTTAACAAAGAAAAATCAACCAAAAAAAATGAGTTCACCTGTCACCTCTGACACGCGTGTCATAGGTTCGCCATCACTGCCCTAGAACAATGTCACCTTGAGCTCCTTAGGAACTTTTCCTGTCCATTAGTCTTCCCTCTTTTCCCCTTTTCTGCCAGCTTCTCCCCTACGCCTAACAGATGCATGCAGATCCTCCTAATCAAAGCTGTTGTGGGCTTTTTTAAAGAGAAATGACCAGAGGGGAAGGAGCATGGGAACAGAGAGCGGCCCTCTTTCCTCCCCCAGTTCCGCATGGCCTGGTCCCCTGCAGCCAAAAGCTCCCGCCCGAACCGCTTCGCTCCTCCCACTTCCCTTCTCCCTTCTGGCCCAGGACCAGCGCTGGGGTGCGCTCAGCGGACCGGACCGCCTCTGGCCAGTCCAGCGGCCTTCCTGCTCCCGCTGCAGTGTCAGATGCTATCACTGCCTCCCTCCCCCATGGCCAGCATTTGCCATTTTTGTGCCACGTTCTCCTGACACTCTCCTCCTTTGCCTTCAGGTCACCACCCTCCCTCGTGTGCCTGACACGGACCAGGCCTTCCTGGCCACCTTCACGACCGTCCGCTGGCCCTTGTCCCAGTCTCGCCCTTGGCTCCTCTCCGGGCCGCAGCCCTCGCCATGCCCTGCCCACCGTCTCTCCCACAGCCACAGGTCAGATTAAGACGCCCCTCCCCCACACCCCTCATCCAGTGAGCTGACAAGTTCTGTGGACCTGACCTTTGTGAACCCTCAACAGTCCTCTAGGCCAGCCGCCTTGTCCGGATCAAGGCCAACCCCGAGCTCCTGGCCTGCTGTGACAGTCCGTCCCGGTCCTCACTTCGTGCCCTCCCTCGGAAGTTTTAACATGCTCAGTCTTTTCATTCCCCAACCATCTTCCTCTGCCACTTCGCTAACTCCCCTCAGGCATAATTCTGGTCTGGCACGTCACCCCTCCAATCTCTTCCCTGACTCCTCACTGCCAATGAATGATGCCCAGCTCACCACATCCGAGACCTTCCCCCTGACCCCAGGCTTAGCTCCCACTGCCCCCC